TTTCAGGTTATATGTGCATATGTAGGAGATATAGATGAATGAATTTTGTAATGGTATATAATGGTGTTGTTTTGGTGTTGTTTTTTTGTAAAAGTATATATGTACAAGAGTAATAGTATATATAAGTACATTGGTGCAAATGTATAGTATCTTTTGGTATTATTTTTTATTGGATTGAAACTTCAATATTAGTGAAAATCTGGTGAAATTTGTAATGGTATATACAGGTGCAAAATATGGTGAAAACCTGGTGCAAATATGGTTAAAATTTGTGCATATAAAATTGTATATATCAAACAACATTTTTTTTTAAAAAGGTTATATAAAAAATTTTGTGGACATTAGACAGCGCTTTAAAAGACGTTGTCTAAAGCCCCCTTTAGACAACGCTTTTACTGTAAAAGCGTTGCCTGCTTTAAAAGTCATTGTCTAAAGCCCCCTTTAGACAACACTTTTACTGTAAAAGCACTGCCTAAAGGGGCTCTTTTTAAAAATAAATTTTTTTCAGACAACACTTTAACATTAAAAGCGTTGCCTAAAGGGGCTTTTTATTTTTAGTTTTTTTTTTGTTTTAGAAAAAGTGTTGGTTAAAGGGGACCTTTAGCAGCGCATTAAAAGTAAAAACACTGGTTAAAGGGGGTATTTAGCAGCGCTTTAAAAGTAAAAGCGCTGGCTAAAGGGGGTCTTTAGCAGAGCTTTCAAAGTAAAATGGATGTCTAAATGGGGGATTTAGCAGTGATTTTACTTTTTAACAAAACGTTGTTTTTACCTACAGCAGCACTGGAATAGACAGCACTTTAAAACGTCGTCTAAAACTAAAAAAAGCGATGTCTAAAGTCTTGTTTGACGTATATATATATATATATATATATATATATATATATATATATATATATATATATATATATATATATATATATATATATATATATATATATATAACACCATCTCACTCTCTCAACAAGTTTCCTTGCCCAATCAAATAATCTCATTTTTCCAGCTAGCGCATGTTTGTAAATCAAATTCAAAAAGGAGCTCAAAGCACAAGCATCATCCATTTACCCGGGTAAAAATAATTGAATGTTAAATATACTACAACATTTGCGTTGGACCAAGCTTCATCTTCCTTCTTTTCTCTCTCTTGCGCGACTGAAGCTTCAACTTGTCTTTCCCCTACAACCTTGAGCATTTTCCATCTTAGGTATCTTCCTTCTTCATACTTCCATGCCGAGTTATTATTAAATATGAACATGAATATGAATATGTATGAGTGTTTTTATGGGTGTTTTTATGATTTTGTATTTTCTTTAAGTTGTTGAACCTTCATACGTCCAATAAGTTGATTGATAAGTTGTTTTGATTAATAAGCTATTTTGACTAATAAGTTATTTTGATTAATAAGTTGTTTTGACTAATAAGTTTTTTGTCTCATGAATGTGTTGTTTCCGTCTTATCATTGCAGATCTCCCCTTAAATCATGTTAAAATATAATGTTGTTTAAAGATGTTTCAAGTTTTTACTACTTTAAGTTCTTTTGAATAAATTGTTCAGATAACACCAAATAAGTTCGGTATTATTTGATTAATAAGTTGCTTTAAAGATTTTGCTATTGATTTTTAAATTTTTAAAGTCTCATTTCTCAACAATTGCGAACTTCATCGATAGAGAAATATTTGAGAAAGGTGTGTTGAATCAATTTCGGATAATCATGGATTTCTGCATTTCGTGTAATCCATTTTCGTCGAATCATTCGTTTTTGTTCACCGTTGATTTTACGTTTTTCATTTTTGTTGTCCAACAAAGATTAGCTTAAGAATCATTGATATTTGGACAATTCAACCAAACTTCCTCTATTTTCTCCAAGCTTCTATTTTCTGTGTTTTTCTGAATTTTTTGTTTTTACTATTTCTTCCTTCAAACTTCATGGAAGTGTAAAATTGATGTTTAAAATGGAAGCTTAAATGGAAAGTTTAAATGAAAGTGTAATGGTTTTTTTCCCAATCTTAATCATCTAAAATGCAACTTCATTGAACTGTAAAATGAGTGCTTAAATAGAAGCTTAATGATTTTTTTTCTTAAATGAAAGCTTAATGGTTTTTTTCTTAAATGGAAAATTCATGGAACTCTCAAATGGAAGCTTAATCTTGATAATGTTTATGCAAACCGAAAACCCCTGTACTTTTTCTCAATCTTTTCTCATATTGGTTGTACAATTATGAAAGTTTTGGTTGTTAGGTTTGTTTCACCATTTTAAGTGTGTTTCCTCATTTTAAGCTTCTGTTAATCTCAAACTTTTACAATTTTATTGCTTAATGAAACACCTGTCATGTTTTAACATCTTCCATTATGCATTTCAAACCTAATGAACCATATATGCTCTTTTTAGGACTTTTTTTGCATTATTTCAAGACCACCACTATTTATTAATGATCTGAAAAGGGATTTCAAGTTTGGAAGATCGATGTTCGTGTGGTTGATATATGGACACTTAAAGAACAAAGTGGTAAACAACATCTTCAATTGATAATCCAATATGTAAAGGTTAGACAAACCTTGTGTCTTGCTATTTTATCTGAATCACTCCAATATGTCTTGCTATTTTGACAAACCCTGAAATTTATAATGCTTGCAGTATCTACTGTTTTTTCTTTACACACACTCTTTTCTTTCCATATCTTACTGTTTTGAGCTACACATTAACTCAAATCCATGTAGTTAAAACAAACTAATACGTCTTACTGTTTTATCTGAATCACTCCAATGTTTCTTCCTGTATTGAGCTACACATTAACACAAACTAATATTATTTTGTTTTCATTGGATGACGAAATCCATTTAGCTACCCGAAACCGCGACCTTGAAGATTGGAAGCAAAAGATTGAAGAATACCAACATTATGTTCTCTAAAATTACTATAAATTGTAGTAATTTTAACACCATCATGTGCAGGAAATAAATGCATCAAAAATATTATCATCCAAACTATCTGACATCAAAACTACTAAACACCACAAGAAAGAGTAGTTACTGCACTTTTGTTTCTAACAATCAATTTTGAACTCACTTCACCATCCATATGTAAGGAATTTGGTTAAAGTCTTCTGTTTACCTCTCAAACTCTAGATCCAAAGCCTAATCTAGACCTTGGTGTCACTAAACAATGTGTCTTGTGTTTTTAATTTTATTATTTGGACCAATATGTAACATGTGACATACATATATTAGTTAACATGTCCATACCTTTCCCATCAAACCATTACTTCTATCTATGAAAGTGACTACAGTTGCCCCTGGACTGTATCTTTTAATTAATTTTAGGAATAGTTCTTACTTGGTTTATTGAACAAAGAATAAACAAAATTAATAAAATTCGAATTCGCGATTGGAATCTCATTTTATTGACAGTCAAGTACACATAAGAAACATAGTATCCACAAATGGTTCTAACATCAAGAAACAAAGTGTCCACAAATTGTATAAAAACTACATTGCATAAACTTTGTCCACAATTTTTCAAATTGATTTGTTCTAGAAATTATCCACATATTCTCATAAACTGAACCAATACACCAATATATAACTTACTCTTTAAATTTTGTTCAATTTGATAAATTATAAGCAACTGAAGTTACACTTAAAATGGTGATACATATAATCAACATTGAAGTAAGTAATCTATCATGTTCATCAACTGAACCTGTACACCAATATATACTCTTTAGAAATATGTTACGGTTTTCCCTTCCATATTATATACATCTAACAATGCATATGTGTCAGTGTGTAGGCACATTGAAGTAATTATGAAGGGTTTGTCATTAATATTTATTTGTTCTGACTTCTAAATAGGATGCCATTGATTATAATTGTATATCTCAATGTCTATATGATTTGATCACTGTTAATGGTTATATGTATTCGACAGGTGTTGGCATTCCCATTTTTCAAACAACCTGGTGACATTTCTTTATATCAAACAGAATTTGGATGTTTTTGTTGAAGAATCAAGCAAAAAACCAGATTATGTAGCAATTAAAATTTTGTTGATCACTGTAAATGCTATTGGAATATTTCATAATGTGGTACGGTACACAACCACCGGTTAGTTTTAGGTAAGAAAACATGCATAAATATTAATTTAAATGTACATTTAAATATGATTATGTTGTACAAAATAATTTTAACTCGTGTGGACGCAAAGTATTTTACTAGTAGCATATAACACTTAAAAGATAGTGCACTAAGAATGTAAAAACAAATATTCTACCTTATCATTAAAAAAAATTAAAATAAAAAAATGATTTAATTAGATACATAATTGATTGTGATTGATTCACAATGTAAAACTATATTACACTATCGGTGCATTAATCATTTTCTCAACATAAAAAGAAAAAATTAACTCAAAAATATATATTTTTTAAATTATTAATTTATAAATATAAGAATTTAACCCTAGACCAACCAATTGTACCCTCTTAACTCAACTCATAATTATCAACCTTACTACTCCACCCAAGTAAAAAATATTTAACTCCAATAATCATTTAACATTTGGTATATAACAAAGTACCGAATACATATACTTAATTACACACTTGTTTGTTTGACTTAGAGTTACATTCCTAGTTAAAACTACTGTCCCATATTTTCATGAACAATATCTATATCACACAAATCAAGAAAGAAAAAATATGAATTACTGACAAAAAAAACTAGAGACGAAAAAATTGAAAATATTCTTTCATTTCAAAGTCTCTAGTTCTTTATCATTGCAACAAAATTTAAAACATATAATTTCTTTTGTGTCTAATTATTTTGTTGGTATGTAATTCAAATTTTCTTCTACCATAATTTTAATAGAACCAACTTTTTTTCTTTCTTTTTTTTCATTTTACTATAAGTAACTATGTAAATGCAATTTAAAATCATATTTAGTATAATATATATTATTTATAGAGAGAGCTATTTTTTTTTACGGGAATAGAGAGAGCTATTTACTAAAACAGCCCTGATGTATTTTCCTGCAAAGACATGTTCATTATATCTTCATTGCACTGAGCAGCTCCATCATCAAAAAGCCACTTCTCCAAGAACATGAGAGGAACTTGAGTTTCTTGATTTGGCTTAATTTCATATTGATAGAAGCAAGAATCCATAGTCAAGTTGTTACTTTCTTCAACCACAGATTGAGAACAATCAGAATTAAAGCTCAACAAAGAGTCAAAACCTGGTTGATCTTTTTGCATGCATGCTGATGCAACACTACTCTTTGCACCTTCACTAGAACTTGATCCTGTAGGTTTTTTCATCCATTTTTCAAGCAATTTAGCTATGTTTTCAGTGTTGGATGCATAAGGGAACCGTGTTGTGGTTTGGGTTTCGGGTAAAAGAGGTGTTGATAATGATTTGTCAAGGGAAAGTGCATCACATAAAGCTTGTTTTGCTGTATGGATATCTGTTTGAAGCCTTCTTTCCCATTGGCCTTTTACCTGTGGAGAAGAAGAGTTTCCTTCTTCTTCATTGTTGTTATTGTTATTCCCTGTTTGGATGTTCTTTAGCTTTTTCTTCAAATGTGTGTTCCAGTAGTTTTTTATGTCATTGTCTGTCCTCTGTGGAAGATAGGAAGCTATGGCAGCCCATCTGGATCAATGAATGTCATAATCTTTCTTACATAATATTGATTACAAAATTTCAATAAAACATAATTACTATTCATTTTTTCTTCCATATTTAGGATTTGAACCATTCATATAAATAAAAGTAAAAAAAAATTTTTTTTAATATAATATTGTTTATTGAAAATTTATCAAATTTGACAAGTTTATATTTGATCATTCTGTAGAAGTTCATGGTATCCCTAATTTTTCTATGCAAAAGAAAAGATTAGGAATGAGAATCAATCTATTGTAGTTGAATTGAATTTAATTTCGGATAAATTTTTATATATAATTGTATAATTTTCTATTAAACAAATGAATTTTAATTGTATCATTTTCTAAAATTCAATCAATTTAAACAATGTATCTATTGAACAATGTATAAGATGAAATTTAAATTTTGAGAGATTAATCTGCAATTGCATGCAGAAAATATTCTATCTTTATTTAAAAAAATCTAAAAAGTTAGATAAAACAATAATTGAATTTAATTATTGACATTTGATAGATCGAATCGTACAAAATGAGAGAGACTATCACTTAATCACAAAATTAATTCATGTGTCAATTTTTGAAATCAAAAGTCAAATTTTGGCTTTATTATAAACAAATTAGTTGGTTTACAAAACTAAACTTTTCCAGTACAAATTTAAAGACTATCACCTAAATTATCAAGCTTTGGAATAAATTTTTTTTTACAAAAGGATGTAGCAATAGAGAATGATAATTATAAGATGAGATTAGACACTGTGGTACCTGTTTCCCAAAAGTGCTTGCAGGTGGATTATCATTTTTTCTTCATGATCATTGAAATTACCTCGTTTGATTCCTGGTCTAAGATAATTAGTCCATCTAAGTCTGCAACTTTTACTACATCTCATCAAACCTAAAAATTCAAATTTAATAAATTGTTTAAAAAATCAAACACATACACAAAAAACACAAAAATTAGAAAAACACTTGACCGGTTGAATTAAGAATTAAAAGAAGTTAAAGGTCGGAGGTTCAAGTTCTGACAAGAATGTAAACATAATACTAACAACTAACTGGTAGCTAATATTACGAACAACTATTTATCTTGAAGAAGAACTATTTCTTAGATTCAAATTTTTTGATGATGATGAAGAAATATTTTCACCTGTACTATTGGGAACAGATCTCCAATTCCCAGGTCCATGTTCTTGAATGTAAGATACCAAAACTATATCCTCTTCTGGTGTCCAAGGTCCTTTCTTAACACCAATTTTGTCACAGCAAGGTGGTCTCCCCATCATTACTTTTTATATGATAGCTAACTAACTTACTCTTACTTTCTCAAATCTTAGAAATTTGACTCTTTTCCTCTCTCTTGTTCCTAAGAAATATTTCTAGACAAGTTTCTGCAAATGGGGTTGCCTTGTCTGTATCATTAGGCCTATGTATATATATAGATAAAAGGAAAAAAAAGAATTTATATTTAAAAATATATAGTATTTTCTTTTAATCAATGAAGCCACAAAAAAAAAAAAAGAGGTGGCTTATAGTAAAAGAAAAAAGAGTCAAAATGGACAGCAAAAGCATTTACTCTTGTTCCTTGCTAAAGTCAGCTATGTGTCCATCTTTCTCAATAAACATTACATATAAATCCATGGGGCATTTAATATGAAATTTATGAATAGTGGAAACACCTAGAAAGAGGTTTATGATTGGAGGAAAAAAACAAATTTTACTTTTCTGTCGTTTTCTTGATTTGCTTACGTAGTATGAATGAACTAGTTGATTTTTTTGATTTTCCTCCTAAAATATGACTTCTATTTCAATCTTATTATCATCAATTCATACATATAGTTAATTGATTGAATTCAACGGATAATTAATTATTTAATAAATAGATTATATAAAAACATAGTTTATGTTATTGTTAAATTTGATAGGGTTTTGGATTTTGTTTGGCTTAATTACAGTTTTAATTTTTTTATTTTATTTGATTTATGAAATTGGTCATCTATTTTAAATTTAAATAGTTTTGGTCTCTCTATTTTAGATATAAACAGTTTTGACCTCCCTCTCATACTTTTGCACTAAAAATTAACGATGTTTTCATTTTTAAATGATAAATTAATTGTAAAATATGATAAATTATCATATATAAACTTATTATTTAACTTTTTAGATAAAAATATAAGTTAAAAAACAAAAATTTAATCGATTTTCTATGAAAAACTTGAAAGGGGATCAAAACTGTTTAAATTTAAAATGGAAACCAAAATTGTTTGAATTTAAAATAGAGAGACTAATTTTGTGAATTAGAAAAAGTAGAGGAACTAAAGTTGTAATTTAGCCGTTTTGTTACTAGTGTGCGATCTTATAGCGTATAAGTTTGAGATGTTGAATAAGTGACTCGAAATATAATATAGGAGATGAATTATGGTATTCAAAATTCGCGATTAATTTGGAAGTTTTAATAATCTTTAAGTAATAAATTGTGTTAGTATTTTTAATATCAAAATAAAAATAACGAAAAATAAGGACGGTAAAGTAAATAGAAGAAATTAAGAGATAAAGGTTAGAGAGGTGGCACCGGAGAATTATTCAAGTTCGACCAAACGTTGACCACTACAAAAAATATACTCCCCAGCGACATGTTTTAGTGGCGTGATTATCATGTCACTAAAATTTAGTAGTTGCGACGTGATTATCACGTCACTAAATTATTTTATAATTTAAATAATAAAAGTAAGGCATGGTCTGCGCCAGTCAGTATTTTATTTTATATAAAAAAGTTGCGACGTGGGAAACACGTCACAACATAAAAAGTATAATAAAAAAATGTTAAGTTTCAGGTGTTTTGAAGAGGAAAGTTTAAATTTCAAAAAAATTTATTGTGACCTGTTAAACACGTCACAAATTTTTTAGAGGGAAAAAACCTTATCTTTGATAAGATGTCATTCTGAAACGTGCAGGTTGACTGTAAAAATATAACCGTTGTAGGGGTTGCAGCGTGAATATCATGTGGCAAGGTTGCGACGTGATATTTACGTCGCTGATTAGCTAATATTTAAATTATAACGTTGGATGTTGCGACGTGATATTCATGTCGCTGATTGTTTAATAAACATGCGCTTTCTCTTTTCAGAAACCATTTGTGTTTCTTCATCATCCCTCTTTTCTTCTTTCTCTCTTCTGTTTTCTTCTTTTTCTCTTCTCTATTCTTCCATTCTTCCATAATCAATTCCAAATTTCATCATCAATTACAAATTTCTTTTGTAACAAAGGTATAATATTTATTCAATTTATTTTTAATATTTTTGTTTTAGATTAATTATGTTTTATGATATATTGATTTATGTTTTTTTTGTCAAGAAGGAGTTAATGAATTTATCATGTGGGCATTTGTTCAGGAATATTATCGAAGCGAGGAGGAGTTAGGTGTCCCTGTCTTAAATGTGAATGTAGACCAATAATTAGTGACCCGGAAGAAGTAGCACGTCATTTGCATAGAAGGGGTTTCATTGAAAATTATTGGGTTTGGACGTATAATGGTGAAGAACTATCGAGTAACGTACCAGAGACTAACAACACGTATGCTTCAAGTAGTCGACCGCCTATGGAATATGAGGAAACCTTTAATCTGATCGGTGAGATGGTTAAGGATGCTTTTGGTGTGAACGTGACATATGATCAACCTGAAGATTTTGACGTGGAAGAGTTTCCGAATGAGGAAGCGCAGGGATTTTATCAGTTGTTGAATGAGATGAATACACTATTGTTCGAGGGGTCATCATACTCAAAGTTATCAATGTGTGTGAGATTATTGGCCGCCAAGTCAAATTGGAATGTTCCTGATCAGTGTTTGGAACATTTCGCAAAAATGATGTTGGATTCCACCACAACAAAAGACAACTTGCCTACAAGTTTTTATGATGCAAAGAAGTGGGTGTCGAAGTTAGGTTTAAAAGTAAGAAAGATTGATTGTTGCATTAGTGGTTACATGTTGTTTTGTGATAACGAGTTTGGTACTCAAGATGGATTATTGGAGGAATGTAAGTTTTGTAAGAGTCTAAGATATCAAGTTCGTAGTAGAGCCATTAACAACAAGTAAAAGTATGTAGCAGTAAAGTCTATGTTTTATCTTCCGATAATACCAAGGTTAAAAAGAATTTTTGCTTCAATGCACAGTGCAAGTCAAATGACATGGCATCATACAAGCCAAACAAGTTCAGGAACTATGCGACATCCATCTTATAGCGAGGCATGGAAGCACTTTGGTCGAACACATCATGATTTTGCCGGAAAACCTAGAAATGACAGGCTTGGATTATGCTCTAATGGTTTTGCCTCATATGTGCAAGCATCGGGAAGTCCGTATTCTTGTTGTCCAGTTATTGTAACTCCTTACAACCTCCCTCCTGAGATGTCCATGACAAAACCATACATGTTATTGACGTGCGTCATTCCAGGGCCGTCCAGTTCAAAAGCCGGAATTGATGTGTACTTACAACCTTTAATTGATGATTTGAAGAGGTTGTAGATTGGAGAATGAACTTATGATATATCCCGTAAACAAAACTTTACTTTGTGAGCTGTCTTGATGTGGACCATTAATGACTTTCCAACATATGGCATATTGTCTGGTTGGGGTACACACGACAAAATGGGTTGTCAGCATTGCATGGTATACACCAAAGCATTTACGTTGGATAAAGGGGGGAAAATCTCGTAGTTTAACTGTCACCGCATATTCCTACCAACAAATCATCCCTATAGAAGAAACAAGACTAATTTTAAAAAAGACGAACGAGTATCAGATTTGCCTTCGCCTCGATTGTCACCAGGTGATATATGGAACAAAGTTTGTGAACTACCAAAATTTATAGATATTGGCAAAGCATGTAGAATTGAAGGATATGGAGTCACACACAATTGGACAAAAAGAAGTATATTTTGGGACCTCCCGTATTGGAAAGATAATTTGTTGCGCCATAATCTTGATGTTATGCATATTGAGAAGAATTTTTTTTGATAATGTATTTTAACACAATGATGGATGTTAAAGACAAAACAAAAGATAATGAGAAGGCTAGACAGGACATGAAAATTTGGTGTAACCGGAAAGAGTTGGAGTTGAATCCTCAACCGAATGGAAAATTATTAAAACCCAAGGCTTGTTTTAGTATGACTTCCCAAGAAGCTAAAGCGATTTGTCGATGGTTAAAAGATTTGAGAATGCCAGATGGGTATTCTTTAAATTTAGCAAGGTGTGTCGACGCTAACACTGGGAAGTTGTATGGTATGAAAAGCCATGATTGCCACGTTTTTAGGGAACAATTGCTACCAATTGCATTTGGTTCACTTACCAAACATGTGCTTAATCCACTAACTGAAATTAGTCAATTTTTTAGAGATATTTGTGCATCCACTTTAAGAGTGGATGACATCATTAATTTGGACCGAAATATTCCACTAATTCTCTGTAAGTTGGAACAAGTATTTCCACCTGGTTTTTTTGACTCCATGGAACATCTACCTGTACATCTTGCATATGAAGCTTATCTTGGTGGACCTGTTCAATATAGGTGGATGTATCCGTTTGAAAGATTCATGGGTGATTCAAAGCGACCAGTGAAAAATAAAGCTAAAGTTGAAGGATCTATATGTGCACATTACTTGCATCGAGAAACATCACATTTTCACAGTCATTATTTCAATCACTTGATGTTAACTCCTAGGATCATACGGAATCATGTAAATGTCAACGAGAGAATTTAAGTCACCTTATCAGTCTTCGGGAGTCCAGGTCATCGCTCTGGAAAGAAGGGTGTGCATTGGTTGACCCAAAAAGAAATGCAATCCGCACATGTCCATGTCTTGATCAATTGTGTTGAAGTTAAACCATATCTTGAGTAAGTATCCCAACTATTTAATTTTCTTTGCAGTGTTAATATAAAACTTATTATCTTGAAACTTATAGTGTGTTTCTTTTTAGGGAATTTAACATCGCCTATTTTCATATTGTCGGTGTACAATCAACATCCAGTGTCATTCATGCTCAATTTCCAATATGGTTTAAGGAGAGATTGTCTAGCATTGTTGCATTGACTCTAGAAATACTCAATTTGAGAAACTTGTCTGAAGGCCCTATTCAAAGCGCAAATGAATGGCACACATACTTCGTGAACGAATATAAATTTCACACTGAGACATGGACTGAAGGGAAAAAAACCATAAACAGTGGGTTATTTGTAAAAGGAGTTATAGATGGCGGTGAAGATGACTTATATGGCTTTGTTAAACA